TTGTGGGCCACGTGGTCTCTGTGGCATATTCCTTTTGTGTGTGTGTATTTCCAACCATTAAAAAAATATAAAAACCATTCTTTGCACTGTACAAAAACAGGCAGAGGTTCATAGTTTGCTGACCCCTGGCAGGTAATTGATACAACAATAAATCAAGCTCTGATTTGTAGAGTTTGCTGAATTTTGAAGTGTAAATAATCATAGCATGGCTGACTTTAAGCTACCAATGTAATTTACTGAATGCAACACTGAAAGAGATGTTCAGGCTCTGGCTGGGTGGCTAAGTTGGTTAGAGCTTTGTCCCTGACAGAACTGCAGAACTCATCTCAGTATAACATCAGATAATCTATCATTTTTCTTTCAACATACCCCCTAAATCTCCCTTGATTCTTTTGCTAGATTCCCACTGTTGTTTTCAACTGTCATCCTGGAGCTTCTGATCACCCTTATCCTGGGGATTGTCTTTGCCTCCATTGTTGGCCTCCATTTTCCTGTATCCTACACTATCTTCTTTCCTAGGTTTATATTTTCATTTTGATAGAGGCATCCTACAGGAGCTTCCTAAGAAAGTGTGTCAAGAGTTAATTGTTGCCCAGCTTGCATGGATCAGTGGTTGAGTTTCAACGTATGAGGTTGAGGTTTGATTTCCTGGTTATGGCTTATGCCGGGTTGCGGGCTTGATCCCCAGTGTGGGATGTGCAGGAGGCAACTGACCAATAATTCTCTCTCATCATTGATGTTTCTATTTTTCCCTCTCCCTTCCTCTCTGAAATCAATATAAATATTTAAAAAGTAAAAAATAAAATTATGTTGACTTTAGAAGAATCCAAATCACCTGGCTTATTGAATGCCCTAAATTCTTGATTTACCTGAGTATTTCCTCATGATATCATTTAACTTCTTATTTTGTTTTCTGTTTTTTGAGTTTATTGATACTCATGTCTGAAGTGATGGCTTCCTTCAAATTTCTTAGTTTTTAAAAAAATATTTTGTGTAAATATACATAACATAAAATTTATCATTTTGATCATTTTTAAGCATATAGTTTTGAGGCATTAAGTACATTTACATAGTTGTGCAACCATCACTATCATTCATCTCCAGAACTTTTTATGTTACCTAATTGAAATTCTGTACCCATTAAACAGTAACTCCCCTTTCCCTCTTCCTCCTGTCTCCCAGCACATGGAAGCCACCATTCATTCTCTGTGAATTTGACTACTTTAGGAACCTCATATAAGAGAAACCATATAAATATCCCTTTGTGCCTGGCTTGTTTCTTGAAGGCTTTTAATGTCTTTATGAAGACATATCAAAGTTTATCCATGTAGCATATGTTACAGTTTCTTTCTTTTTAAAAGGCTTATTTCTTATTCAAGAATGAGAAATTAAAAAGCTAATTGGAGCCTTGGCCAGGTAGCTCAGTTAGAGAGCTTCATCCTCGATACACCAAGATTTCAAGTTCTATCTCCTTTTAGGGAACATTCAAGAATCAGTCAATGAATGTGTAAGTTGGACAATAAAATCTCTCTTTCTCTCTCATAAAAAAAAAAAAAAGCTAATTGGAAGGCCCATGTAAGTGGGCAGGATGTGTTAACCTGTTAACCGAGTGGGAAGTATAAATACGTCAAACGTAAACAATATCGGATACAGGTAGGACATATGAATACGTCCTTGAAATATATGTTGTGCCCTGAAACGGGAGGGACATATATTTCCAAACAACAAAGGTATTAGTCATCCATACATATCTCGACATGAATTTAAGACACGGAGGGAATCAGTATAATTTCACTGTTGAGAGTGGTGGACGTGTTCTGGGTGAGCAGTGACAGGTACGTACTTACACTTACCTACTTATTTTCGTATTATATATTATTTACTTACATTTTTTATATCTCCAACCTTTATATAATAGAAAAACATATAAAATTGATCCAATCATCAATAATTTGTTAGAAAAGTTTAAAAGTTTTTATGTATGTGAACGAGAAATATGCGAAGATGAATCTCTTTTATCATGGAAAGGGAATTTATCTTAGAAACAATATATATCTACAAAAAGAGCTAGATTTGCAGTCAAATGCTCTACCACTGCATTTGTTTTTAAAAAAGTAATGAGTTGGAGGAATTGGATTCTCATAAAATAACAGAGGGGGGGAATACCCCCAAAAAGAGCTAGATTTGGAATGAAGTTGTTTATTTTGAGTGAAAGCCAATCTGGATACGTACAAAATATAATTTTATACATAGGCAAGGACACAAATTATGGTTCGAACTACCCACAAGAAAAACAATCAACTAGAATTGTTTTGGGTTAACACATGACTTACTGAATAAAGGGTATAGGATTTACTTAGATAATTTCTATACGTCAATTCATTTGGCTGAACTCATGTCAAAACAATACAGACATTGTTGGAACAATGAGGATAAACAGAGTCGGAATCCCCAGTGAAATAAAAACAAAAAAATTACAGAAAAATGAACATATATTAAGAATCAAAGACAAACCTATGGTTTGAAAATGGAAGGATAAAAAAGACGTATTGATGCTCAGTTCTATTCATAATGACGAAAAGACAATGATTGAAAAGAGAAGAAGAAGACAAGAAAAACCGAATGTTGTCCTGGATTATAACAAGAATATGGGCAGCGTAGATTTGGGAGATGGAGTTATGGTGGCCTACACGGCTGCCCGTAATAGGGTAAAAAAATTTTATAAAATTTTTTTTCTATGATTAATTGATATGTGCTGCTTCAATGCATATATTATATACAAAAAAGGTATAGGTCATTTGGATCGATTACACTTTTTGAAAGAGTGTGTAGAGAAATTGGTAGATAACAACATAGTGAAAACCTACCCAAAGACATCAACAAGCAGCTCTACATCTAAACCATCACGCTTAGTTGAAAGGCATTTTCCAGAACAAATGAAAAGCGATATAGGAAAAACTAAATCCAGGAAATGCCGAGTTTGCTACAAAAAAGGTGTTAGGAAAGAATCTACATACTGGTGTCCAGATTGTAAGGTAGCACTATGTATCAACAATTGTTTTAAAATATATCACACGGAAGTTGAGTTTTGAATTTTTACATCTATATTTCAATTTTTTTAACTCAATATTTCTATTTTATTTGTGTGCTTTTGTTTATTGTTCTGTAATTGTTAACTTTTTTATATTTTTTATTGTGTATAGAAATAAAAAAATATATTTTTTGTAATCTTTATAATTGTAAAATTTATAATTTTTTAATTCGATGTTTCCATTTTTTTTGTTGATATTCTTTTTTATTTGTTTGTAATTTTGTATTTTCCTTTGTGCTTTATATATAAATAAACGAAAAATACATATTTCATTTATTTTAATTAAGTATAAATTAAAAAAATAATAACATATACGTCCACTGGGCGTGACGTACTGACACGACCTAGAGAAAAAGTATGCGCCTGTTGTACTTCGAGTAATTAAAAAGGGAACAGGTTAACTAGAGTCCTTCATTGAAAGGTGATATGATAATGAACCTCTTTTTCATTGGTAACCACAAAATATCTGTATTTTTAGGTCTTTTGCATGGGGTCTTATCAGTTTCTTGAGAGAAAAAAAATCTCCCTAAATTCTGCCCGGGGGAATAAGCTTAGAGGCTTACTGTTCAGAGAACTGAAATGGGAGAGGGATTTAGGGGCCATTTACCTATCTGGTGGACTTCTTAATTCTGTTTTCAATTTGGGACTTACCCTAGCCCCAGCTGTGCTTAGTGTTTGGGATTTCTTTAATTGTTTCTCTGGATTGATGAGTTGACAAGCAGCCTTTGTCAAGGGTGGAGGAGGGGTATTGCCCAGTTGCATGGGGAGAACTGCTCTTTCTATCGACTTTCAGCCAATCCTTCTATTTTTAGCTCCATCTCTCATTCCCTCCTTTAGCGATCATTGTGCCTCCAATTCTTTTTTTACAGGACTTTTTCTCTCTTTAGGCTAAGGTTTCAGTTTTTGCACTTCACCAAGTCAGATTAACTGTATTAAAGTTTTGTTGCTGGCCTGGCCAGTTTGGCTCAGTGTATAGTGTCACCTGCAGACTGAAGGGTCCTGGGTTTGATTCCAGTCAAGGGCATGTACCTTGATTGCAGGCACATCCTCAGTAGGGGGTGTGCAGGTAAAAAAGTTTTGTTGCTGTCCTTTGCTGTTGCTCCCTCCTCTGATCTCTTTGCTGTTGTGTTCATTCCTTTAAAAATAGATTATATTACCATTTGAAGTGATTTATAGAGGGAGTAAAGAATCACATGTATTTAATCTACTATATTTTAGCTATTGTATTCTACTTGCATTTTATTTTTTATTTTTTATTTTTTTATTCCATCAGAGCTTTTCCAATAGAGACATCTTTGAGTTCATTGCTAACTCAGTTTGGCCAGCAGCATTGGCATCACCTGGAAGCTTGTTCTAAATCAGAATTCCAGGCACAAGCCATTCCTAGCAAACCATGCTCTGCATTTTACAGGATCCCTGAGTGATTTACAACCACATTAATTTACTGTGCCTGCTATAGTGCTTGACACATATTAAGTGTCTTCTGTTGGACAATCAGAAATTTAGAAAAGTCCCTATACTTAGAAATACTGTTTTGGGAGCAGTATGTTTAAGATTTAACATAAGCCCTGGCCAGGTTGGTTGAGCATTGTCACATGCATCAAAAGGTTGCTGGTTCAAATCCCAGTTAGGGTGCGTGTGGGAGGCAACCGATCAATGTTTCTCTCTCACATCTGATGTCTCTGTCTCTCTTATCTATCTTCCTCCCTCCCCCTTTACCCCATTCCCTCTTCACTCTAAAATCAGTAAAAACATTTAGAAAAAAAAAAAGATTTAACCTAAAATAACACTATTTGACTTATAATTATTTGAATTTCAGTGTATATTGGTTAATGAGGGTTCCTGACTGAGGAAATTAGAAAACAAATTATAATGTACTTCTACAAAATAATATTCATTTTTCTTCTAGCTCTTCCACCAAAGCCACCTAAGCCAATGACTTCAGCTGTTACAAATGGAATGAAGGACAATTCTGTTTCTCTTCAGGATGCAGAATGGTACTGGGGGGATATTTCAAGGTAACCAGAATGCTGCTATAGTTGAATGTAGTTTTTAAAAAATCACTTTTTAGAATTAGTAGTTAAAATAAAATACTTTAATGTCCCATTAATTGTCATTTAAAGATGACCATTTAAGAAATTGTGTGGGAATATTTCAAAAGTTTCTAAATGCTTTTCTTCACACACACACACACACATACACACACACACACACACAATGACAAGAAAATCTTTAAATTATGGGTATGATTTTACACTATATTGAGGATATATTTCTGAATAATACATACTCTTAGGTTGAAAGATACTTACAGGTACTTACTTTTCCTTGCCTTTTGTCTCTAAGGCAGTAGTAGTTCCACAATCTTTACATGTGTAAGAATCAATTGGCCGGGGCCTAGGAATCTGCATTTAACAATCTCCCCAAGTGATTTTGATGCACTCTTCACATACCTCATTTTGGGTAACAGGACTCTTGGACAAATTTCTCTGAGTAAAATGTGGTTTTGGAAAAATTTGAATCTAGAGAAGGAATACACATACACACACACACACACACACCGTATATTTATTTATTTATTTATTTAATTTTTAAAATTTGAATATTATATTTCCTTGTTTTTAAAAAACACTACACATTTCAGCCAATTCAGGTTTCAGGTTGATGCTATATTTCTCAATATGATTGTCCTCCTCTTTCGTCTCTTCTTTCCCATTACCAAAATGGCGCTCATTCCTTTTTTTCCTTACCCTTTTTAACCATCTTTAAATGTACAATGCAGAGGAAAAAGTACATTTACATTGTTGTTCAACTGTCACTACCATCCATCTCTTGAACTATTTCATCTTCCTAAAGTGAAATTCTGTACACTAACTCCCCTTGCCTTCTATTCTCCCCATTCCCTTCCTGGTAATCACCATCCTACTTTTTGTTTCTGTGAGTTTGACTACTCTAGCTATCTCATATAAGTGGAATTATACAATATTTATTCCCCAGAGTTCATCCATGTCACAGCATGTGTCAGAATTTATTTCCTTTTTAAAACTGAACAATATTCCACTTAATATATATTTACTTATTCATTTGGACATTTGGCTTTGATGAATATTTGGATTGTTTCCAGCTTTTGGCTCGTGAGTATGTTGCTATAAACATTGGTATATAAATGTTTAAGTCCATGCTTTTATTTCTTTTAGGTATATACCCAGAAGTGGAATTTCTGGGTTATATGGTAATTCTGTGTTTAATATTTTTAGAAAGATAATATATATTTATATTAAAATTATCAGAAAAAATTATTTTAGCATTCATTATACAATAAAGGTTTAAATATTTAAATTTATATTTTATTTATTTATTTCTTTTTCTTTTTTTTTTCTTTTTAAAATCAATCTTTATTGTTCATATTATTACAAAGGTTCCTCATTTCTTCCCCCCTCCACCAGGTTCCCACTAAATTTATATTTTAAAACCCTGTGGTTTTATAATTCAAGGGTCTTTTAGACCCTGCCATTTCCTTTGAGTGTTGATCCAGTATTGTTCCTTAAAGTCCCAAACCAGCTCCGAAGAGAAATTTATTATCAGTATAAATTCATATTGGAGGATATTATATTGAAAAATTGTGAATTTAGTAAGTCTACCCCCCCCCCCCCCCCTTGGACACAGCTGCCACTGTTGGTTAAATATAACCTTCTTTCTAAACAGCTGCTGGTTTTCCTGAAACTTCAAGTTCAGAGCTGCCCAAGGAATCCCTAACGGCTTAATGGAAACACTATCTCTTATAGATAGTTGAAATCTGGAAAAGTTTAAGAAGTAAATAGCCCTTTCTTAGATTGCATAACACTGAAAATCAAGACAGAATGAACATACTTAGAGAGAGGAACTAAATGACCTCTGAAAGGCCCTATGATTCTAGAACTTTAGACATTTCCCAACTAGCCTTAGTAATAATATGTGAAGAGCACAAATGAAACCTGTGTTTTTTCCATTTTTCCTATAATTCTTCAGGGAGGAGGTAAATGACAAATTACGGGACATGCCAGATGGTACCTTCTTGGTCAGAGATGCCTCAACAAAAATGCAGGGAGATTATACTTTGACTTTGCGGTGAGTATTTTTCAGCATTTTCATCAGCATTATTTATTTCTGGTATACAAAGATTTCTGTATTTTGTTTAAATCTTTATATACATTTTTCATATTTTAATTTAATATAGATACATAATTTTTGTTTGGCTAACTATCCTTTTTTTATACATTAAACATTTAAACGTTTTACATAAATGACAATTTTTATTTTTTGTTAGCAATAAAGTGAAAAAGCTTTAATGTAAGGAAATAAGATGTATACTGTTGACCTTATGAGAAGAAGTGATGTCCACAGCTTAAGGTTGTTCATGATATGTTTGGAATCCACCCCTCTAATAACCCTTTTATTTTCCTTAATATAGACTTCAGCCTTAAAACTCAACCTTATTTAGGATGATGATGATATATAGATAAAGCAATTCTCAGTCTGTATCATGCCATCCTTTTGGACATATTAGAATCTCATAAGTGGTGGTTGTATCTCTTTTATATTTGCAAAAGTGGGACATATATTTTTTTTAAAATTAGGAAAACTGCTTTAGATATGTCCACATTTAATTTTAACCATTAAAATAGTCTAATTACAATAAAGTCTTGTGATTTTTAAAAAATAAAGAGCTATCTAAAAGAATAATAATAATAGCAACAATAACAACTTTCTTGTATTAAGCATTTTATATGTAACAACTTATTTCTCACAACAACCTTATGACACATAGGTATTAATATTTCCATGTTATAGATGAGGTAACTAAAACTTAAACTGGTTAAGAAAGTCGCCTTAAGCCGAATCTGGTTTGGCTCAGTGGTAGAGCGTCGACTGAAAGGTCCCGGGTTCGACCGGTCAAGGGCATGTACATTGGTTGCGGGCACATCCCCGGTAGGTGGTGTGCAAGAGGCAGCTAGTTGATGTTTCTCTCTCATCAACGTTTCTAGCTCTCTATCTCTCTCCCTTCCTCTCTGTAAAAAATCAATAAAATATATTTTAAAAAATAATAAAATAAAATAAAACTCAGCATAAAAAAAAAAAAGTCGCCTCAAGACACATACTAGTTGCTAGTAAGTGGCAGAGGATAGGTTCAAATCCAGATTAATCTGACTCTTTGCTGCTTTTCCATCCTAGTATTTTTAAGAAAAAAAATCCCATATTTTATGCTAGAAATTTGGAGTCACTATATTGGTTTCTGATAAAAATATTGAAAGAAATTAATGCCTTAGGACTTCAGTAGTTATTAAGGTATAATCAGTGTTCTCTGTTGATTCAACACAATTTTTTCTCATTCTAGTCAGGCTTCTGTCTTTCTGTCTTATCACTCTACAGGGACTGCTAAACCAATGTCCGCTTCTCTTTCTTACTTTGCCTGACCTCTTACCAGAATTAATCATAGATACTTCTTCCTAGAAACAGTTTATTATCTTGGCTGTTGTGATATCACATTCTTCTGATTTTCTTTCTAATGCTAGGCCACTCCTTTGCTCAATATCAAGATGTTAAGTGTTCCTAGGTTCAGACTTGGGCCTCCTCTGTATTCATTTTCCCACAGCAATGCTTGTCCTGTCCCTTGACTTTAATATACAATTATACAGTGATGATTCCTAAACCTTATATCTAGCTTTGACTTTCAGAACTCCAGATGCATATATCCAGTTGTCTGCTTGATTTTGCCGCTATATAACTAAGGCAGTGTTCAGCAAACCGTGGCTGGCGAGCCACATGTGACTCTTTGGCCCCTTGAGTGTGACTCTTCCACAAAATACCATGGCTTGGGCAAGTCTATTTTGAAGAAGTGGTGTTAGAAGAAGTTTAAGTTTAAAAAATTTGGCTCTCAAAAGAAATTTCAATCGTACTATTGATATTTGGCTCTGTGGACTAATGAGTTTGCCAACCACTGAACTAGGGGATATACTAATTTTAACATGGTCAGTGCAGAATTTATTATTTCAATTCCAACTCCCCTATCCAAACTGTTTTCCCTTCAACTCTTTTTAAGCAATATAACCACCATCTCTACAGTTACTCAAGACACAGTCTTTTCCCTTCTATTTCTCTCACTGTCACATTTAAGGCATCCTATATATTAAGGAGGGAATATGCTAATTGACCATCACTCCATCACAAAGATGGCTGCACCTACAGCTGAGGCCAAGTTCCTATAAGGAGCCTTAATGAGCAATCAGCAGGGATCTGAAGCTACCCCTTCCCCTGCCCCCATGGGGCTTGACAGGGGACCTCAGGCTGCGCCCCCCACCTGGCGGGGCTTGACGGGAGACCTGAGACTGTACTCCGGTCCTGGTGCTGGGTTAGGGGACCTGAGGCTGGGTTTGACTGAGAACCTCAGGCCATGTCCCCTACATGGTGGGGCTTGACAGAGGACCTCAAGGCACGCCCCCTGCCCTGGTCTGGGCTGGGGGACCTCAGGCCATGCTTCCCATCCTGGCGCCAGGCTAGGGGATCTGAGGCTCTGCCCCTTGCCCGGCAGGGCTTAACAAGGGTGGGACTGGCCCGTCTGGATCTACCCAATGATGGGAGGCCACTTGGCTCTGGGTCTCACGTGATTTTGAGGAGTATGTGGTTAGTGGTGACTTAACTCTGAGTCCCGAGGTGAGCCCCAGACTGACAGGAGGAAGGATTTCATATATATTTTACTAATTTTCTTTCATCCCTGACACTTCTGTTATAGAGAAAGGGAAAATAGCAATATTAAATTATTTACTCTAATTCCTCCCCCCCCTTTTAAAAAAATATATATTTTATTGATTTTTTTACAGAGAGGAAGGAGAGGGATAGAGAGTTAGAAACGTCAATGAGAGAGAATCATCGACCAGCTGCCTCCTGCACACCCCCTACTGGGGATGTGCCTGCAACCAATGGACATGCCCTTGACTGGAATCGAACCCGGTACCTTTCAGTCCGCAGACCAACGCTCTATCCACTGAGCCAAACCGGTTTTGGCTTAATCCCCTTTTAATGTGCACGAATTTTGTGCATGGGGTCACTAGTCATTAAATAAATCCTGCCAACTCTATCTTCAAATCTATATTAGTAATTTCTTCACATTTCTCTACCAGCTAAATCTAAGCCACCCTCATCTTTGATCTTTTGCAGCCACCTCCTAACAGGCTTCCCAGCATTTTACCATTTCTAATCTTCTCCACCCCATTTTCTGCATAGCAGCCAGAGTGATCATTTACAGCAATATTCTTTAAGACAGCATGTCTTTTCCCTCTTCTTTCATTGTCTTAAATCCATTTCAGTCAGGCTTCCATCCTTACCTTTCAACTAAAACCATTTTATCAAGACCACTTAGTTTTCTCTACTTTGTCAAGCATCAGTTGATTATTTCCTCTATGTTGAAATCCTTTTTAAAACATTGTTTTTTGCCGAAACTGGTTTGGTTCAGTGGGTAGAGTGTCGGCCTGCAGACTGAAAGGTCCCAGGTTCGATTCCTGTCAAGGGCATATACCTTGGTTGAGGGCACATCCCCAGTGGGGGGTGTGCAAGAAGCAACTGATCGATGATTCCCTCTCATTGATGTTTCTAACTTTCTCCCTCTCTCTCTCTGTAAAAAAATCAATAAAATATATTTTAAAAAATAAAAATAAAAAAACATTGTTTTTTATTTTAAAAAAAATTAAAAAAAAGTTTTTAAGATAATACACTCTTAATTCTCCATTCACTTCATTAATTGCTTTCTCTTGGGTTTCCTTTGCTGGTTTTTCCTCATCCCCTGACCACTAAACATGAGTGTACCCTTGGGCCCAAACCTTGAACCTCTTCTGTTGTTCAGCTGTGCTTATCTAAAGTTCAGGAGAAGGTCTGAGCTAGAAGTTTAATTCATTCAGGAATAAAAAAAGATACATAAATTATTTCTCTTAAGTGATTATTTTTGTCAAATTTGTTGATACTGACTGCTGTTTAGGTATATTAACCTTTAGTAAGCAAGGTTATTTTTAGATAAAAGAAAGAGTTTTAAAAATAATGTGATATTACATATACTTTTGCACACATACTTGTATATGTCTTTTTACCTGTTCTAGCCTCAGCATAATAAAACTTGTTTATTATGTGACATCAAGCTTTTATATCTTCATATGAAAGTAATAGTACTTCAGTAGAATTTTTTTTTGAAAAATTTACAGTTATCATCTTGTTGTTTACAGGAAAGGAGGCAATAATAAGTTAATAAAGATCTATCACCGAGATGGGAAATATGGCTTTTCTGATCCTCTGACATTTAATTCTGTGGTGGAGCTCATTAACCACTATCATCATGAATCTCTTGCTCAATACAATCCCAAACTTGATGTGAAACTGATGTACCCAGTGTCCAAATACCAACAGGTATGATCACACAAGTTCTTTTTTTTTTTAATTTAATTAATCTTTATTGTTCAGATTGTTATAATTGTTTATCTTTTTACCCCCCATAGCTCCCATCCACCTGGTTCCCACCCCACCCTCTGCCCTTACCTCTCCCCTACTGTCCTCATCCAAAGGTGTACAATTTTAGTCCAGTCTCTTCCCGCACCCTCCACATCCCTTTCCCCTCCCCCCGAGAACTGTCAGTCCATTCCCTTTCTATGCCCCTGATTCTATTATATTCCCCAGTTTATTCTGTTCATCAGATTTTTTATTCACTTGATTTTTAGATTTACTTGTTGATAGATATGTATCTGTTGTTCATAATTTTTATCTTTACCTTTTTCTTCTTCCTCTTCTTAAATAATACCTTTCAGCATTTCATGTAATACTGGTTTGGTGGTGAACTCCTTTAGCTTTTTCTTATCTGTGAAGCTCTTTATCTGACCTTCCATTCTGAATGATAGCTTTGCTGGGTAGAGTAATCTAGGTTGTACATTCTTATGTTCATCACTTTGAATATTTCTTGCCACTCCCATCTGGCCTGTATAGTTTCTGTTGAGAAATCAGCTGACAGTCATATAGGTTCTCCCTTGTAGGTAATTAACTGTTTTTTTCTTGTTGCTCTTAATATTCTATCTTTGTCTTTTGCTCTTGGTATTTTAATTATGTGTCTTAGTGTGGTCCTCTTTAGATTCCTTTTGTTTGGGGTTCTGTGTGCTTCCTGGCCTTGTAAGTCTATTTCTTTTACCAGGTTGGGTCATTATTTCTTCAAATAGGTTTTCAGTATCTTTCTCACTCTCTCTTCTGGCACCCCCATAATTCTGATGTTGATGTTGGTACCCTTGAAGTTGTCCCAAAGGCTCCTTACACTATCTTCAAATTTTTGGATTCTTTTTTCTTTTAGCTTTTCTGGTTGAGTGTTTTTTTTGCTTCTTTGTATTTCAAATCTTTGATTTGATTCTTGTGGTCCTCTAGTCTGCTGTTAGGTCTCTGTATAATATTTTTTTTATTTTAGTCAGTGTATGTTTAATTTCTAGTTGGTCCTTTTTCATTTCCTCGAGGGTCTTGCTAAATTTATTGGCCTTTTCTAGAAAATTCTTGAAAAACCTTATAACTGTGGTTTTGAACTCCATATCCAGTCATTTGCTTTTCTCCATTTCTTTCATTTGTGATCTGTTTCTTTGTCTCCACATTTTCACTGCTTCCCTGAGTTGGTAGAGTAGCTTTGTGTGCTAGGTGTCCTCTAGGGCCCAGTGGCTCAGCCTCCCCAATTACCTGAGGTGGATCCCTTTGTGGACTGTGTGCATAACTTTGTTGTAGTTAAGTCTTGATTGTTGTTGATATCACTGGGAGGAATTGATCACCAGGCTAATTGGCTGTGAGGATCAGCTGTGTCTATGCTGGGAGAATTTTTGTGCTGGAGACACTCTTAAGAGACAAGACTTGCAAAATTGCAAAAGCCTCTGTGCTCTGCTTGGATGGGGCGGAGTCTCAGGGTGGAGCAGACAGCCTTGGCTTCCCATCAGCCCTGCCCTATGAGGCCTCTGGGTTTTAGTGTCCCACCGTAATTGCTGCAAGCACCTCTGAGAGAAAGCTGCCCTCGAGTTTTGCCTGCTGTCAGACTGTCCAGTTCCTTTCTGAATGAGTCTGGGTTCCCAGAAACTTGCCCAGGACTGGAATTTAGCGCAGTCAGGAGCTTCCATCTCCCTCCCGCTTTAGAAAGCCAGCTGTGCACTGAACCGCCGTGCACTCAGCAGTCAGTCCTCTCTGTGCGTGCACCTCTGGACCTCTGCCTTCCGCAGCTCCCGAGTCTCAGTGTGCTTTCTCTTTTCCTGACAGTCCAGGTTCCCCCAAAATGAGTCTGGTTTCCTAGAATCTTGCCCGGGACTAGAGTTCAGCACAGTTGGGAGCTTTCGTCTCCCCGCCCCCCCCTTTAGAAAGCCAGCTGCGCACTCAGCCACCTGCGCACTCAGCTGCTCTTCCTCTCTGTGCATGTGTCTCTGTACGTCAGCCTTTTGCAGCTTCTCTGAGTCTCAGTGTGCATTCCTCTTTCCTTCTAGTTGTAGAATTTCCACTCAGCCAGCTTTCCTATGGTTCTGGATGGTGTCCATTTTGTCTTTTTCTTTTTTTAAATTTAATAAATCTTTATTGTTCAGATTATTACAATTGTTCCCCCTCCCCCACATAGTTCCCCTCTACCTGGTCCCCACCCCACCCTCTGCCCTTACCTCCCCACCCCATGTTTTGTCTTTTAGTTGTATTTTTGATATAATTGTGTGCTGCAGCAGTTTAGGTGTTTACCTATGCCGCCATATTGGTTTGCTATCACACAAGTTCTTGATAGCTATTCCTCAAGTAATTATTTAATAGGATTATTTGATACTAACTTACCAGTTTAAAAAGAAATCTAACTATTTAAAGTTTTCTACTGAAGATTTAAGAATTTTATAACTTAATTTTGTGGCAACTATGAATAGCTTGTTGCATGTATTTATTAACTTCATATAAAATACTTTGTTGCCTGGCTGGTGTGCTCAGATGACTGAGCATCAACCTATTAATCAGGAGATCATGGTTCGATTCTGGTTAGGGTATCTGCCCAGGTTGCAGGCTCAATTCCCAGTAGGGGGCATTCGGGAAGCAACTGATAAATGATACTCTCTTATCATTTGTATCTCTCCCCCTCTCCCTTCCTCTCTGAAATAAATAAAAATATATTTTAAAAATACTTTTGATTATGTTTTCTAGTTATACTTTTTTCTTAATTTTTAAGTATTAACTATTTTGTTGTAATATAAAGGTTGATATTCGTGTTAACAAAGGATTTAGTGCTTTTGTATGCTTGATATTAAACCAGTGGTTTAAACTTACATAGAAATTCAATTTAAAAAACAAATAAATATAGAAATTAATATCAGAATTGTCGACATTCTTTACTTCTTTTGTTTACCTGCATAGGATCAGTTGGTAAAAGAAGATAACATTGATGCAGTCGGTAAAAAACTGCAGGAGTATCATTCTCAGTATCAGGAAAAAAGTAAAGAGTATGACAGACTATATGAAGAATATACCAGAACATCCCAGGTTAGTATATTTTTGTTATTTAGGCCAGTAAATATGCAACATCACAAATACATCAAATTTTCTTCAATTCATCTGACAATGTTTAGAGGTCTTAATATCTTAAGTAGCCTTTTTGGGACTTTGATGATATAAAATCCTCTCCCATTCATAAATCACTTTTTTATTGGTGAAGGATATATTTTATGTCAGTTAGTGTTAACTAGAATAAGTTTTGATGACTATAAGTGACAAAAATAAAATAACAAAGGCTTCAGATAGAAATTTAGTTTTCTTTTATGTATAGGCATTTAAGTGTTTTATGGGAACTCCACAGTAATTGGGGCCTAGGGTTCTTCGGTCTTGATGCCTTGCTATCTGTGGAAGCTGGCTTATTCTAATATTAACCATAACAACCAGGAAGGAAAAATGTTAAACTTTAATCCCTTTCCTCTGCATTAAACAGAACATCTCCTAATATTACATGTACATGTCATGCCATCTGTGTGCGATGCTGCATTTCCCTCCACCCCAGTTCTTTAAGAACTAGCTCAAATGCTGTCTTCTCCATGAAGCATCTGTAAAACAATAAGTAATTAATTTATTCCACTTGATTTCCCTACCACGACATGAAACAGAACCTATTAGAGTTCATAAATCTATTTCACTTGTGTAGTTCAAATCCTTAAAGGTAGGCTCCATGTTTTATGAACCTCTTTATCACCAGATGGTACTTCCTGTATAGTGGATTTTCAATAATCATTTGTTGAAATTAATCAATGCTGGATAGATGAGGAATTATCTTGCAAGCACCAAACCTTTAAAATTATAAACATTCAGGATAGTAATCTTTCTAGACCTTTATACATACTTCTTGACTTTCTAAAGTAAATTGAATAAAGCCTAATCCTCTTTGAAGGTTTTAGGAAATCATGAGTTAGATGCTAAAGTCTACAAATACCCTCAGAGCTCATCAAAATATATAGGACTTCTTACTCTCAGGCTTTTGTTTTACGGAGTTTTCATTTTACATCTTATTCTGCATCTGATTTTTTAGCTATTCTTTCCTTTTTCATTTTCTGCTTCTAATCAGATTAATTTACTGATGATTCTGTTTTAAAAACTACTTGCTTTAGCCGAAACTGGTTTGGCTCAGTGGATAGAGCGTCGGTCTGTGGACTGCAAGGTCCCAGGTTCGATTCCAGTCAATGGCATGTACATTGGTTGTGGGCACTTCCCCGGTAGGTGTTTTGCATAAGGCAGCTGATCGATGTCTCTCTCATTGATGTTTCTAACTCTCTGTTCCTCTCCCTTCCTCTTTGTAAAAGATCAATAAAATATTTTTTTTAAAAATAAAAAAATAAAAAATAAAAATAAAAACTACTTGCTTTAGAAACTAAAGCAAGAATAAATAGACTCTGGCCCTAGCTGGTTAGGCTCGTTGAATAGAGCGACGGCCTGCCGACTGAAAATTCCAGGATTTGATTTCAGTCAAGGGTACAATCAATGATCCTCTCCCATCGTTGATGTTTCTATCTCTCTTTCCTTCTCCCTTCCTCTCTCATTACACATATAACACACATATATACGTACTAGAGGCCCAGTGCATTCATGCACTGGAAGGGGGGTCCCTCAGCCCGGCCTGCCCCCTCCCACAGTCTGGGAGCCCTAAAGGGCGGGAGGCGACCCGTTAACCAGGGGAAGGCCATGCCCCATCACACCTCTACTGATGCCACCGCCGGTAGTCCAAGCCTCAACCAGACCTGGTTACCTGAGCCTTGGGCGGCCCTGGGCGGCTGGGCAGCTGTGATCCGAGGCTTGCTGCATGCCTGCCACCATGGTAGGGCTGAGCGGACTGGGCGCTGCCATCTTGTGGCTGTGGGCACCACCATATTTGAGGGTGCGGCAGTCAATTAGCATATTGGCTGTGGCGCTGCCATCTTTGTGATGGCGTGAGGATCAATCAGTATATTCCCTCTTTATTAGATAGGATATTTAAAAAATCTTTAAGAAAAGAATAAATAGACTATAGGGCTCTTCTGGGGAAAAGTCTTTGCATGTTGGTGGCTGGACTTCTCTACTCTATCCATTCACCCCTTTAGCATCTTTTGGGGGTCAGCCCTATAATAGGTGCAAAGGCAGGACTTCATCCTTATCTTCAAGGGTTAATCCCTCTTAGCATCTTGAGTCTTTCTGTGGTTCTCAGCTATACCTTTTATTTTATTTTAGGGTTTAAATGATTCATTTTGCATATAAATAATAAGGGTAGAAGTTAAACAAAGGGTCTTATTTTAGCCAGGCAATTTTCAATCGTTGTCCCACTAGGATTTTTAAAACATGCAATACCTGACTATTTAGTAAGGGGCACTGACCTCTTTTCCCTTTGTTTGTCAAATAAAAAAATGACAACAGCCAACATAACAAGAGCCTTCAGATGTGAATGAATCAAAATTGTATCTGTTTTTTGGTTAGATTGGCAAAAAATACATTTTTTGGTGTGCTGCATAATTTAGTAGTCAGTTTATGTGTGCCATGAGATGAAAAACGTAGAAAATTGCTGGTTTAGCTTTCTGAATTCAGTCTTACATGGAACAGTAAAAAAGTTACCAAAAAATAAAGATAATAAAGTATATAGCTTTTCTTTTTCTCTCCTATAGGAAATACAGATGAAGCGGACGGCAATTGAAGCTTTTAATGAAACCATTAAAATTTTTGAAGAGCAATGTCACACACAAGAACAGTATCGCAAAGAATATATTGAGCGATTTCGCAGAGAGGGGAATGAAAAGGAAATTGAACGGTAATTCTACCTAATTACCTCAGAGTACATCAGTGAGACAAGATGTCTTTTCTTCCCCAATAATCTTTGTTGTGTTTGCTTTTACTCCTCAAACTTCACAGTCCTTTTGTACTTGCTGTTCCCACCAGTGGCACCAAACTGAACCTCCTCTCTTCTGCATTCTTTCTCCTCCTAAATATTAGCTCTTGATCACCCTTTAGGACTCAGCTTAGATGTGATTTTTTCTAGAAAATTTTCCCTGATTCCCTAGACTGGTTTGGGGGCTTTTTGTCCCTATTCTTATAGTATCTGCTTCTGATCCCTACTGTAACATTTACTGAATGTCCCACTTACTAAATTGTGAGCTTGTTGAAAGTAGGGATATTGGCTTATTTTCCCGATAGTTAGTTACAGCACCTATTATGGTATGGAGAATATTTGTTGAACTGAAATATTTATTGAACTGAAAATCAATAGCAGCAGTCTGAGAATAAATTGGAGTGGAACAAGACCGTGGGTAGGAAGAGCAGTTGGCTGACTGTTGCAGGTGGCTGTAGTCTTAGGTCATCAGGTTAAAAGATGGTGAGGGCCTGAACCAGAGCAATGGCAGGAAAGGAGGTGGAGTTAAAGGAAATGCTGAGGACTTGAAGCCTGACCTGGAATGATATGTGTGGGATAAGTCAAAGTTTGCACCTACTGACTGAGGCAGTGGTTGGCAAACTCATTAGTCAACAGAGCCAAATACCAACAGTACACCAATAAAATTTCTTTTGAGAGCCAAATTAAAAAAAAAATAAAATAAAAATATATATATATATATATATATATATATATATATATATATATATATATATTATTGTTTTTTTACAGAGAAGAAGGGAGAGGGATAGAGAGTTAGAAGCATCGATGAGAGAGAATCATTGACCAGCTGCCTCCTGCACATCCCCCACTGGTGATTGTGCCCGCAACCTATGTAATGCCCTTGACCGAAATTGAACCTGGGACCTTTCAGTACGCAGACCGCTGCTTTATCCACTGAGCCAAACCAGTTTCGGTGAGAGCCAAATTTTTTAAACTTCTTCTAACGCCACTTCTTCAAAAAAGACTCGCCCAGGCCATGGTATTTTGTGGAAGAGCCACACTAAAGGGGCCAAAGAGCCGCATGTGGCTTGCGAGCCTCAGTTTGCAGACCTCTGGACTAAGAGATGGTGTTATTAACTAAATAGAGAGTATGAGGAGAGTTTGGGGTTAGAACCAAAGAGTTTGAGGTTCCTTTGAAAACCCAATGGAGTTGTCTGAAAGGTTGTTAGATTTGGAACTCCAGGTACAGGAAGGATTTGGGAGGCATAAGTGTGTAGGTTGCAGTAGATGGTAAGAATGTGATTACACAGAAAGAATGAGCAGCATGATAACTATTGGATTTAGCAACCAAAGGATATTGTAAGCCTTTATTAAAGGAAATTTAGTGGAATATTAGAAGACTGAGCCAGAAAACAGTGGGTTGAGGAATGAAGAAGTGGATAATAAATAAAAATGAATCCTATTCATCGAGTACCGCTATGTACTCTTCAAACCATTGCAGGTGCTGTAACTATCAGGAAAATAAGCCAAGAGAAAAGCAAAATTATTTCTCATGTTAGCACCAAAGTGTTAGTGAACTTCTTTGCGCAAAAGACTAGGGCTCAGTGATATGAGGCAGTGTAGCCTAATGTTAAAACCATGGGCTTGGCTTGTGTTTACTAGCTGTGTGATTTTAGGTGAGTTACTTAGTTCTTAGGGCCTGTTTCCTCCTCCATAAACTGTGGATAATATCTTATTGAAATGCCATGAGAATTAAGTCACACACACACACACACATACACACACACACATACATTAATGATGCAGAAAGGCATGTTTGTGTATCTGAATATATCTTGGCATTTGCAGTCAATAGAAGTCCTATCTAATAAAAGAGTAATATGCAAATTAACCATCACTTTGCTATATCCACAACCCATGCCCACAAGCCACGCCCACCAGCCAATCAGGAGCAAATATGCAAATAATCCCAACCAAGATAGCTACGGCCACAGAGAGCAGGAGGAAGGCTCGGGTTTCCCTGGCAATCAAGGAAGCCAAGCTTTCTGCCTGTTCTTGCCGGCCTAGGCCTCCACTCAAGGCTACAAAGTTCCAGTGATAGAAGATACATAAATCCAAACAGAAATGGCGGCAGTCACGGAGCTGGAAAGAGCAAGAGGCTAGGGTTGCCCCTGGCAATGGAGGAAACCAAGTTTTCCCCTGCATACCCTGACCAGCCCAGGCCTTCGCTCCAGGCTACAAAGTTTCAATTGTAGAAGATAAATAAATCCCAGATATCAGGGCCTCCACTTGGGTCTCTAGGGCGCGTGGCTGGCCTGCAAACCACCACAAGTCCCTCACCCAGGCAGTCCCATGCCCCAAGGGAACCCCAACCCTGATCTGGGACATCCTTCAGGGCAAACCAGCCAGCCCCCACCCATGCACCAGGCCTCTATCCTAATAAAAGAATAATAAGCAGATTCACCATAACTCCAATACAAGATGGCTGCCACGAGGTAGTCAAGGATCCTGCCCCCATGTGGACACAAGATGGCCACCACAAGATGGCCAGCAGGAGAGAGCAGTTGGGAGAGACCAGGCCTGCAAGGGAGGGCAGTTGTGGGCAATTAGGACAGCAGGGGAGGGCAGTTGGGGCGATCAAACCTGCAGGGGAGGGCAGTTAGGGGTGACATATCTGAAGTGGAGGGCAGTTAGGGCAAACAGGCTGGCAGGGGAGCAATTAGGCATTAATCAGGATGGCAGGGGAGTGGTTAGGGGGTGATCAGGTTGGCAGGCAGAAGTAGTTAAGGGCAATCAGGAAGGCAGGCAAGTGGGCAGTTGGGAGCCAACAGTCCTGAATTGTGAGAGGGATACCAGATTGGAGAGGGTGCCGGCTGGCTGAGGGACCCCCCACCCTGTGCATGAATTTTGTGTATTGGGCCTCTAGTCTTACCTAATAAAAGGGAAACATGCAAATTAATCATCATTCCACTACACCCACAGCCAATCAGAGTGAGTATGCAAATTAGCCCAACAAAGATGGGGGTTAATTTGCATATGCAAGTGCAGAGTGGTATGAAGCCTGCTATGAGTGGAAGGGGGCAGCGGAGGGAGCTACTGAAGTGGTGTTCCAGACAAAAGCGAGGACTGCTGGCTCTGGGCATCCGGGAGCAGGGACTTGCTGGCTCCCAGGTGGCTGAGGAGTGGGGGCTTGCTGGCTTCCAGGCGGCTGGGGTGGGGAGTGGGGACTTGCTGGCCCCTAGGTCTCTGGGAGTGAAGCCAGGGGCCTCTTCTTGCACAAATATTGTGTATTAGGCCTTTAGTTATTAATAATGAAGAAATAGAAAAGATTTTTTTTTAGTTTAGTGCAATGGGAGGTGAAGTAACACAATGACATTTTAATCTAAACTAATAAAAGGGAAATATGCAAATTGGTCTTGACACCCTCAAAGTAACAACCAAATAGCAGGCTGGGTGGGGTGACAAGGCTAGCAGGAGGGTTAGCGAGGGATGACCAAACAACTGACCAGCAGGCTGTGTGGGGCCACCAGGCTGGCAGGGTGGTTAGCGAGGCACTACCAAACGACTGACCAGCAGGCTGTGTGGGGCCACCAGGCCGACGGGGCGGGGCAGTGAGGAGCGACCAGGCCAGCAGAGGAGGGCAGTGAGGGGTGACCAGGTTAGCAGAGGGGGACAGTGAGGAGCAACCAGGCTGGCAGAGGGATAGTTGGAGACGACCAGGCCAGTAGGGGGGGCAGTGAGAGGCAACCAGGCCAGCAGAGGAAGGCAGTTGGGGGCAACCAGGCTGGCAGGGGGTCACTAAGGGGCGACCAGGCTGGCAGACAGAGGCAGTTATGGGTGATTAGGCTGGCAGGGCTTGGGTGAGGGGGGCAGTTCAGAGCCAGTGGTCCCGGATTGTGAGAGGGATGTTTGACTGCCGGTTTTGGCCTGATCCCTGGGATTGGCTGGAAACCAGCAGTCAGACATTCCCCAAGGGATCCTGGATTGGAGAGGGTGCAGGCTGAGCTGAGTGGACCCCCTCCCCCAGTGCATGAATTTCATGCACCGGGCCTCTAGTAGTAATATAAAACCATATATTGAATGACAAGTGAGTAGTGTGGACAATTGTGCCTTAAAAGGCTTCAGAGCACAGCAAAACTTAGTGTGCTGAAAAGCTTATAGCCACCACCTACTGAGTACTTAAGAAGATGTGCTAGACATTGTTAAGTCCTTTTACATGTATTATCACATTTAATTTACACAGTAACCCAGTGAAGTGGGTACTTTTTAAGTACCCATTTTAAACAGAAGAGGAAATAAAGGCTCAGAAAATTTAAATAACTTGCCATAGCTACACAGTAAGTGATAGGCCAGACCCTCATACTTAGGGCAGGCTGACTGCAAAGCCATTGCTCTTAACTGCTATATTGTGTTATCTCTTTATATCATTCATATAGCTACCAGTATTTGTTCAATCATGGCTCAGTGCAAAACCCAAACAAGGGCATGGGTCCTCTCTCATAATCTGTCTTCTGTGTTTGTTTTTTTGTTGTTGTTTGTTTTGTTTTTTGTTTTTTTTTCTTAGAGGAGGGGAAAAGGGTGAGAGAGAGAGAGAAACATTGATGAGAGAGAACATTGATTGATTGGCTGCCTCCTGCAAGCCCCTCACTGTGGATGGAGCCCACAACCCAGGCATGTGCTCTGACTGGGAATCGAACTGGCAACTTCTTGGTACATGGATATATGTTTGATTACTGAGCCACACAGACTGAGCCATACTCTGTCTTTTGGTTCTATTTTTCTCTGTGTTGGCTTCATCCTCAAGCAGTCTTTCCCTATGAGGTGGCAGTGTAGCATCTGGGAATCCTTAGAATCAAATATACTTTCATAATTTAGCAGTCCTTTATTTTATTTTATTTTATTTTATTTTATTTTATTGATTTTTTACAGAGAGGAAGAGAGAGGGATAGAGATTTAGAAACATCGATGAGAGAGAATCATTGATCAGCTGCCTCCTGCACACCCCCTACCGGGGATGTGCCCGCAACCAAGGTACATGCCCTTGACCGGAATCGAACTCGGGACCTTTCAGTCCCCAAGCCAACGCTCTATCCATTGAGCCAAACCGGTCTCGGCATAGCAGTCCTAATGGAAAGAGAATCTCTATTTACAGTAGTAGCAAAAGTCCTAGAATTAACTCTCATTGAGTCAGTTTGGGTATTACTCCTATTCCTGAACCAGTCACTAGCCTGAGGGTGTGGATAAAATGGAATGGAGTACTTTTATTGGACATGCTGAGTTGTGTGGATGTTTACCCATGAACCTAAGATGAGGGCAAGGGATCCCATACTGCAGGGACAATCAAGTGCTATTACTAGAAGAGTGGGGATGGATATGGACAGGGAAAAAACAGCAGATGTCAACCACACTTAAGATATTAGGCTCTGCTCACAATATAGAATGCTTCTGCTTGGTTCCTATTTTAGCCTTAATATATCAAATGTTTTCACAGAATTATGATGAATTATGACAAATTGAAATCCCGTCTGGGTGAGATTCATGATAGCAAAATGCGTCTAGAGCAAGATTTGAAGAAACAAGCTTTGGACAACCGGGAAATAGATAAAAAAATGAATAGTATCAAACCTGACCTGATCCAGCTGCGCAAGATCCGAGATCAACATCTTGTGTGAGTAGTGTGGGAGGGGTGGAGGGCAGGAGGTACCTCTAGCACCAGATTTCTGCTGCACTAGAAATGTTAGATTTAGAAGAACAGATTTGTAATTGAGAAATGGCCACTAAGAATGTAGGCAAGTATTCCTATTAGTAATAGGCCTACCAGAGTTGACCTACAGTCAATGTGTGGGAGCAGTATAGGACTCCCAATCTGTACAAAGGCCTTGGAAATCTCAGAGGGTAGCTGTGGCATGAGCAAAATGATGTAGCTTAAAATGTACAGAGTGATGTTTGCCTAAAACACAAAAACCAGAATCTTTGGTTACATATTAGAACCACAGAAATGGACATTGTTTTTAATGGGCACAGGCAAGGACACTAATAGTGTGGGCCTATAGGTAAGTATACAGAACAATCTATTAAAGGTTTTTATGTCTAAATGAAATTCTGTATTTAAGTAATAGAAATGTGTGGATAGCAAGCATGAAAGATAGTTTGATCTAAAGAGTGAAACCTAATTTTTTAATATTATGAAAAATGATACAATTTAGCTAGATATAGGGATATTATCCAAGTACAGATTAAAAGATATATTATCAGAACAAATTGTGTGGATTTGATTTTTAGGACAAATGACTATGCCAAAGAGAAAAGCTGTGAGGAAGGAGAATATATTAAGTTTAGTTTTAGGAAATAAATGGACTGTTATGAAATATGTTTCATTCATGTAAAACAACTCAATTCAAAATCCTGGCAGATGACATCTGTGTTTGCCACATGTATCAGGCTTTCTTTGTGTGAGAAAGGGAGAAGGGATATAATACAATCTTAGAAGTTGGAACAGTGCTGTTTGGTTTCAGTAGAGGAAAATTTTTATTTATTTATTTTAAAATCTTTACTTTTCTTCTTAAAATCTTTATTGTTGAAAGTATTACATATGTCTCCCTTTCCCCCCATTGACCCCTTCTAGCCCCGCCCCCACCCCAGGTCTTCACCACCCTATTGTCTGTGTCCATGGGTTATGCATATATGTATACAAGTTTTTTGGTTGATGTCTTCCCACCTATCCGTCCAACCCTGCCTTCCCTCTGAGATGTGACAGACTGTTTCATACTTCTATGTATCTGGATTTAGTAGATAAAAATGTAAGGTGATTGTTTTAAGGGAAAACAGTTGCAACTATACTATGCCAAGTAGTTTTAAACACTCCTCTCTAGAGATTATTTCAATTTGCTATTGTGACCTTCCCAAAAGTCAAGCACATATACAGAGCATACAGAAGAGCTTTGGAAACAAGGCAAGAATTTGCCCTTATCTAAAATCAGGGTGTGCCTGCTCTTGGAATACTTACATGGTTCTCACATAATGAAGCTGAAAATATGCTTAGAAAGTTGTTGCCATGAACCAAAGGAATGAGTGGAAGCACTGCTTTAGCTTGGAAAGCAATAAAATACTAAGAAATACACCATCCAAATGGGCATGAATAAGTAAGGCAAACTAGACCTTAAAAGTTCCTTTAATGGGATAATATAAAAGAGAGCTTAGATAGCATCATGGATGATAAGCCATGACCTGCCAGTAAAGATAGTTAGGATGTTTAGGGAGACACAGACAACCCTTACCTCTCTCAGAAGGATTATTTCAGGTAGGATAGTCCAGTGTTCCACAGTCCATACTTTGATGTTTCTAAAAAGACAATACTAGGTGTGGTGGACTGAATGTATTCCAGTACTGAAATTGTCTAGTCGGTGCTGAAGAGGAGACTGGTTGTAAAATGTTCGCTGCATGATATTGAGTATGATCTTTCTTTGGTCCTGTTTTGAAGTTGGAATAAATTGGAATTCTACAGTATCCAACTAGAGATTGTCATTAGTTCATCAGGCCCCTTGCGGTATAGACATTTCCCTGACTTCCCACTGCATAACCTACAAGGCTGAAATCCCAGCATACTGATTCTAGGATATTCTTTTTTTTTTTTTTATAATATATTTTTATTAATTTCAGAGAGGAAGGAAGAGGGAGAGAGAGATGGAAACATCCATGATGAGAGAGAATCATGGATCTGCTGCCTCCTGCAAGTCCCCCACTGGGGATCGAGCCCACAACCCGGGCATGTGCCCTTGACCGGAATCGAACCCGGGACCTTTCAGTTCGCTATCCATTGAGCCAAACTGGCTAGGGCAGTGATCTGCATACTCATTAGTCAACAGAATCAAATATCAACAGTACAACGATGGAAATTTCTTTTGAGAGCCACATTTTTTAAACTTAAACTTCTTCTAATGCCACTTCTTCAAAATTGACTCGCCCAGGCAGTGGTATTTTGTGGAAGAGCCACACTCTGGGGCCAAAGAGCCGCATGTGGGCTCCCGTGGCTGCCAGGAATACATGGCTGCTCGGGAGGGCGAAGGCAAGTATACAGGGCAGGACCAAATGGGCGAACAAATGCGTGCTATCTCTGAGGCCTCGTTAAGCTTTGATGATATTACCTCAGGCTTTCAAACTGACCGGCCTCTTTCCCAGTGCTCTGTGGGCTTGTCCTTTCCCTCACCAATCCGGTCTTTTTTCCGGATTAAACACTTTCCCTTCATGATCACCATCCTGGCTTTTTCTGGGCATTCACTTAACAGAAGAATTTCCCTTTACTGTTCATTGCTCCCACTCCCATAGTCCTTGCAAGTGGGCGGCTGGTACCCAGGGAGGCTGGAGAGCAGGTCCGTCCTCCCCACGCCAGGAGGAGGGAGGAGTGTTAATCCTCTTGGCAGAACAATGTGGCCATCTCCTGGAGCGCCGAAGCTGTAGCTTCCGACCTAATTAAGCTAGCCAGTTTTGCTCCCTTCTCTTTATTAATATTTAGGTACCTATGCTAACATTTGGTCTTTTCATTTTTTGGCCTCAGCTTTTTCCTCTAGAATGTACTCTTTAGGAGTGATCTAGGCATTACTCAATCTAAGATAAATATGAATTGCCATACTAAAGTCACTTAAGCTTTTTCAAAATCATTTTTAAAAGCGAGTCAGTTCCTGGCATTGTTAATAGATAATCAAGGACTCCGAAGTATGTATTAGTAGTATTTGGAATGGACTTTTGGGAGAGGAGGAAAGTTGCAAATGTGAAAAGGCAGGACACCATCTTAGATGAAAGGTGGAACAAAAATAGTCTTCTCTTTCTCCTGGATTTCTCTCGGTGTCCTAACATTCCTTGGGGTAGAAAAGGAGGCTCAGTTTAAAGAGGTTGGTCTTTAAAAGAAAATGGGAACTCTTTCTTTAAAAGTCAATAAACTATTCTTTAAAAAAGAAAAGAAAATGAAAACTCAAAAGAAAATGTAGTGTGGTTTGTTCATTTCAAGACTTTTACCCAGTGTGCTTGTCTTTTTAATAAAGGAAATATCAATTTTTATTTATTTTTGTTAATCCTCAACCAAGGATAATTTTCCATTCATTTTTAGAGAGAGTGAAAGGGAGGGGGGAGAGATAGAGAGAGAGAAACATCAATGTGAGAGAAGACACATTGGTTGGTTGCTTTTTGCACATGGCCAGGGATCGAGCCTGCCACTCATGTCACATGTCCTTAACTGCAATCGAACCCAAGACACTTCAGTCTGCAGGCCGACGTTCTATCCACTGAACCAAACCAACTAGGACAGATTTAAGGACAGAAAGTTTGATGATAAGAGTTTTTAGAGGAGGGTATCTGGGTATTTTGCTAATAGAAGTGGTGGTGTAGGAGGGGGTTTGTTACTAAATAAATTCTACAAGATCATATTAGTTGTTTTCTGGCTTCACTAAGCATACGAAATGGAACCCACATTAACTGAAAGACTGTCTTATTGAGAAAGGCTGTGAAATCTGTCTAAAGGAACTTTAAATTAGTGTGATGCCAAGTTATATAGTGTACTTGGGGTTGGCCATGAAGATTTATTAAAAACAGCCCACCAGCAAATACTTACTATTTATTGAATCTCCACTATGTACTTGCACTTTTCAGCATTGGGATTAACCATTAGCAAGACAGAAGCAGCTTACATTTTATTTTATTTTTTATTTACATTTTATTTTCTTTAAAGCAGCTTATATTTTATATTTTATTAAAAATATGTTTTGTTGCCTAAACCAGTTTGGCTCAGCGGTAGAGCGTCGGTCTGCGGACTGAAAGGTCCCAGGTTTGATTCCGGTCAAGGGCATGTACATTGGTTGTGGGCACATCCCCGGTAAGGGGTGTGCAAGAGGCAGCTAGTTGATGTTTCTCTCTCATCAATGTTTTAGCTCTCTATCTCTCTCCCTTTCTCTCTGTAAGAAAAATCAATAAAATATATTTTTTAAAAAATGTTTCGTTTTGTTTTATTTCAGAGAGAGGAAAGGAGAGAGAGTTAGAAATATAAATGATGAGAGAGAATCATTGATCAGCTCCCTCCTGCATGCCCCCTATTGGGGATCAAGCCTACAACCTGAGCATGTGCCCTGACTGGGAATTGAACTTTGACCTCCTGGTTAATGGGTTAGCAGTCAATCACTGAGCCATACTGGCCAGGCAAAGAAGCTTACATTTTAGTGGAGGAGACTGTCAAGAGAATAAATGCCCAAACTTGTAAGAATTTTTTAATATATATATATTTTTATTGATTTTTTACTGAGAGGAAGAGAGAGGGATAGAGAGTTAGAAACATTGATGAGAGAGAATCATCAACCAGCTGCCTCCTGCACTCCCCCCACCAGGGATGTGCCCGAAACTGAGGTACATGCCCTTGACCGGAATCGAACACGGGATCTTTCAGTCTGCAGGCCGACGCTCTATCCACTGAGCCAAACCGGTTTCAGCTCAAACTTGTAAGAATTTTTATGAGTTTATTTGAGCCAAACTGATGACAGTTGCCAAAAGACAAAATCTTAAAGGACTGGGAAAATGCTGCAAAGAATGGCAGTTTTGCACCTTATTTCATACATTACCATCAAAGGAGGAGAGGTGTAAGGAGGTTACATAAAATTCATTGGTGGTAGATCAGGGAGGGAGGAGAAAGCAAGAATGGGGGTGGGACATTGGGGTGGGGACTTTCTGGAACTGGATAAAAAGTTAAATAAACAGACAGATACTTTTACATAGGTGATATAGGACAGTGGTCGGCAAACTGCAGCTCTTGAGTCACATGCGGCTCTTTGGCCCTTTGAGTGTGGCTCTTCCACAAAATATCATGGCCTGGGCGAGTCTATTTTGAAGAAGTTTAGAAGAAGATGTTAGAAGAAATTTAAGTTTAAAAAATTTGGCTCTCAAAAGAAATTTCAGTCGGTGTACTGTTGATATTTGGCTCTGTTGACTAATGAGTTTGCTGACCACTGGTATAGGAGGACAGTTAACAGTATTACATAACAATGAGGCGATTCTCTGCTCTAGTGTGGTAGTTGTGCTTTGAGGGGTGGAAGTGTGGAGGGGGGGGAAGGAAATTACTTTGATATTCTGAAGGTATGTTATCAGGTATGTTATTGTAGATGCATAAAAAGACAATTTGCAGGCTCAGTTAGGTGAAGATTGACCTTTGTTATGGAAAATACCAGCCATGAACTGTTTTTAGTTAAAAAGTTTTAATTTCAGACTATCCTATGTAGTTACTTTAGGTCTCTGAGTTTGTAAGACTACTATGTGGGCCTCCCCTGAACTTGTCAGGTTTAGTATTGGCCCCTTTTCATCCACAAGATAAACATTAACAAAGTGGAAATATAAAACAATTTCAGGCAAGGGCTAAGAAGATGATAAAGTACAGAGAGTGTCTGGGGGATTGCCTTAGTTGGGAATCCCCCTGAGGGAGGTGTTTAGGATGAGATCTGAATGAATAGGGGCCTGGTTGGGGGGCAGCAGTGAAAGAGTTTTTATATTCCACTGAAGTTTTAGACCATCAGCCATCTCAGTGGTTTATATCATTTTACATCTAAAATGTTGTATTTTTCTGGTTGGGTGGCTCAGTTGGTTTGAGTGTAATCCTGGTACACCAAGGTTGTGGGTTCGATCCTCAGTCAGAGGACATAAGACAGTGGTCGGCAAACTCATTAGTTAACAGAGCCAAATATCAACAGTACGATGATTGTTGTACACTCGTCCAGGCTGTGGTATTTTGTGGAAGAGTCACACTCAAGGGGCCAAAGAGCCACATGTGGCTCATGAGCTGCAGTTTGCAGACCACTGACATAGGAGAATCAATCAATGAATGCATAAATAAGTGGAACAACAAGTGGATGTTTCTCTCTCCTTTCCTCTCTCCAAAATAATTTTTTTAAAATGTTGCTGTATTGTAAAATACTATGATTTGCCTGGTGATGAAGTAAATTCTATGGCTTGCTTAGGTGCAAGTATATACCTTAAAATTCTGTTCTAGGATTTTAAACTTAATATAGAGACCATATAGGAATTGATTCCTCTGGCTAAGTAAAACCTTCTAGAAAAGGAAAATGCAAAGAAGTCTCATTTCAAGTAGCTCTTTGTGTTTCTGCCTTTTTGCAGGAAGCTAAAGGGAAAGTAATGGAGAAACTAGTTTAGGGAAATTTTTGGCCACTCCATGGGATTGGGAAAAATAAGAGGTTCCTAGACTCTGGGAATTCGGTTGGCTGCGCGGGTCTACTTCATCCAGGCAGTTTGCGCAGATACTGACACTGCTATCTTCCCTCTGGCAGATGGCTCAATCACAAAGGAGTGAGACAGAAACGCCTAAATGCCTGGCTGGGAATCAAGAATGAGGATGCTGATGAGTAAGTTCCCTTTCTGTCAGAGGGTTTTGTTCCCAATTTAAGACCTGGACCTTCTTTATACATGTTAAATATTGGTTTTTATTGTCATTTGAGGACATTGAATTAAGAACTTTGCTCCTTTTTTGAATTGAGTTTTCTAGAGTATCCAATAGGCATTTGAGTTCAGAGACCTGCCTAACCACGTGAAACAAAAGCATTGGTCTGAAGGTCATTCAGACACCCACATGTCAGCTTGTTGGATGACACATGTAAATTCTGTGCTTTCTGTACCATAGCAAGTAATGAAGTTGTTGAAAAGCGTCCAACTAATTAGAATTTCATTTTATCATTTTATGGTTAAAGATTTAGAAGAGAGTTTTATTTGTGAATTTGCTTTTAGATATAAGTAACCTGATTGCTAGAATATTTTAACATTTAATTTTTAGGACCTATTTTATCAATGAGGAAGATGAAAACCTGCCCCATTATGATGAGAAAACCTGGTTTGTTGAGGATATCAATCGAGTACAAGCAGAGGACTTGCTTTATGGGAAGCCTGATGGTGCATTCTTAATTCGTGAGAGTAGCAAGAAAGGATGTTATGCTTGCTCTGTGGTGTAAGTACGACCTTTTGAAAGCTTCTGAATTGATTAAAAGAAAATCAGTCTCTCATAAAATTCAATAAAATTAGTTCAAGTGCAGTAATGAGGGCCCAGCTCTTAGACCATTAATATTTTATTTTATATATATACACCCTCACCCCTCTACTGACTATGTTCATGGGTTATGCTTATATGCATACATATGAGTTTTTTGGTTGATCTCTTAGACTCGTGGTTGGCAGGCCCCTTGAGTGTGGCTCTTCCACAAAATACCATGGCCTGGGCAAGACTATTTTGAAAAAGTGGCATTAGAAGAAGTTTAAGTTTAAAAAATTTGGTTCTCAAAGAAAAATTTCAATTTTTGTACTGTTGATATTTGGCCTCTTCTTCAAAATAGACTCACTTCGGCCGTAGTATTTTTTGGAAGAGCCACACTCAAGGTGCCAAAGAGCTGCATGTGGCTCGAGAGCTGCAGTTTGCCGATCATGGAGTTCGGGCAATCCAACAACTCTTTTGTTTTAAAAAACACTGAACAGCCGAAACCGGTTTGGCTCAGCGGTTTGAAGGGTCCCAGGTTTGATTCTGGTCAAGGGCATGTACGTTGGTTGCGGGCACATCCCCGGTAGGGGGCGTGCAGGAGGCAGCTGGTCGATGTTTCTCTCTCATCGATGTTTCTAGCTCTCTATCTCTCTCCCTTCCTCTCTGTAAAAAATCAATAAAATATATTTAAAAAACAAAAAAAACAAACACTGAACAAAGTAGGAGTAGGAGGGCACTTCCTCAACCTGATAAAGAGCTATCTATGAAAACCCACAGCTAATGTCATACTTAATGGTGAAAGACCAAATGCTTTTCCCTAAGATAGGAAAAATATAAGAATGTCTACTCTCACCACTTCTAAATATTCCACAGAAAGTTCTAGCTAAGGAAGTTAAGCAAGAAAAAGAAATAAAACATATCCAGGTTGGAAAAGAGTAAAATAAATGAGTTCATCAGCATTGTAAGTTAATAGATTAGGATACAAAAATCAGTTGCATTTCTATATACTAGAAATGAACAATTTGAAATGAAATGAAGAAGACATACGATTTATAATAACATAAAAAATGATTCAGTACCTAGGATTAAAACAAAAGAAGTAAAAGATCTGTATAATGAAAACTATAAAACAATGAAAGAACTTAAAGAAGACCTAAATAAGTGAAAGACATCCAGTGTTCATAGAACAGAAGACTTAATATTGTTAAGATGGCAGTGCTTCCCAAATTGGTCTACATGTTCAGTTTAATCCCTTTCATAAATCCCAGCTGGATTGTTGCAGAAATTGACAAAATGATCCTAAAATTCACATGAAAATGCAAGGGATCCAGAACAGCTAAAATAATCTTAAAATAATAGAAAAAAGTTGAAGTACACCTCCTGATTTCAAAACTTACAATAAAGTTATCGTAATCAAAACTGTGAGGCACTGACAATAGGATAAACATGTAGATCAGTGAACAGAATTGAGAGTTAAGAAATTCTTTTTAAAAAAAATATATATTTTATTGATTTTTCTTACAGAGAGGAAGGGAGCGGGATAGAGAGCTAGAAACATCGATGAGAGAGAAACATCGACCAGCTGCCTCTTGCACACCCCCTACCGGGGATGTGCCCGCAACCAATGTACATGCCCTTGACTGGAATTGAACCTGTGACCCTTCAGTCCGCAGACCGACGCTCTACTGCTGAGCCAAACTGGTTTCGGCGAGAGTTAAATTCTTACATTTATGTAAATTGGTGTTCAACAAGGGTCTCAAGACCATACAGTGGGGGAAAATTTCAACACATGATGCTGTCATTGCAGGTGAGCCACATGCAAAGAATAAAGTTGGCCCTACCTCCCACTATATACAAAAATTAACTAAGAATGAATTATGGATCTAAATGTAAAAGCTACAAGTGTAAAACACTGAGGAGAAAACATAGGCATAAATCTTCGTGACTTTGGGTTAGGCAGTAGTTTCTTACATATCCAAAGCACAATCACCAAAAGAAAAAAAATAAATTGGTCTTCAACATAATAAAAAACTTTCTTGCATCAAAGGAAACTGTCAAAAAAGTGAAAAAACAACCTACAGAATAAGATAAAATATTCAGAAATTATATATCTGTTATGCAACTATTATAGTGTCTAATTTGTAAAGAACTCTTAATAAAAAGACAAATTCCCAATTTAAAAATGGGCAAAGATTTAAATATACATTTTTCTTAAGGGTCAATAAGCATATGAAAAGTTGCTCAATATCAGTAGCCATTAGAAAACTGCAAATCAAAACCAAAATAAGACACCACTAGGATGACTATAAAATAAAAAAGATGGACAATAAGAAGTGTTGGAAAGAATGTGGAGAAATCGGGTCCCCTTACACTGCTGGCAGGAGAATAGAAAGGTCAACCATTTTGGAAACCAGTTAGGCAGTTCCTCACAAAGCTAAACCATGTGACTCAGCAGTTCCACTCCTAGGAAAACTGAAAATGTATGTCCATTCAAAAACTCATACACCAATGTTCAGAGTATCATTCATAATAGCCAAATGTCCATCAATTGATGAATGAATAAACAAAATGTGGATATCCACACAATAGAATATTCAGTTACAAGAAAAAACGAAGTACTAATACATGCTACAACATGAGAGACTTTGAAAATAGTGTGCTAAGTGAAAACCAGGTACAAAAAGTGTGATATTATATAATTCCATTTATATGAAATGTCCAGACTAGGCAAATCCATAGAGAAAGAAAATAGGTTAGTTGCCAGGGCCTAGGGGGAGAGGAATACTGAGTAATTGCTACATGGTTTCTTTTTAGGGTGATAAAAATATTCTAGAATTAGATAGTGGTGATAGTTGCACAACCTTGTGAATAGTCTAAAAAATACTGATTTATACACTAAAAAAATGTTTTTTGGTTTGTAAGGGAGTGATGGAGACACACATGGATGTAACATTTTACAAACTTGATTGAGAAAACATTTCTTCGCCTCCTCTACAAAACAGTTGCTTTCAGGCTTTGAGGATCCCTGTAGTATTTCCTGCCTTAATTCCGTGGTGTTTGTATCCTGCAGTGCCGACGGGGAAGTGAAGCACTGTGTCATCTACAGCACTGCCCGGGGCTACGGCTTCGCAGAGCCCTACAACCTGTACAGCTCGCTGAAGGAGCTGGTGCTCCACTACCAGCAGACATCCCTCGTCCAGCACAACGACTCCCTCAACGTCAGGCTCGCCTACCCTGTCCACGCACAGATGCCCTCGTTCTGCAGATAAAGTGGGAGTGGGAAGAGAGGTGGCTCTCTAGCATTTTTCCCTACAGTTTTATTAGACTATGAGGGCATTCTTTCTACGTAGACTGCTTGTTTTGCACAAGAAGTGATTCTGTGAATGTGAAGCGGAGAGGCCGAGCAGCAGCCGTCAGGAGAGGGTGTGAGGGGCCCACGGGGCTGCGGGACCCAGCTGTGCTGCTGCACTAGCATAGGAAGCTGGAAGCAGATGTGGTTTTTTTGGGAAGTCTGTTTCACTGGGGTTTTTATTTTATTTTTTATTTTAGCCAAGCACCCTCAACAGAACCCATTAGGCTTGAGGTGGTGAGGGGTTGTATCTGGAAGCTTCTGCAGAGTCCATGTCCTCTTTGGGTCTTCAACTCTGACAGTGTGGTGGGTGTGGCTGTGCGGGGAGTTCTGTTTGGATCTGGCAGTCTCTCTGAACTTCCTCCCAGAGAAGGTTGTTTGGTTCTGTGGTAGAAAGGCATTCGGTGAAAAAGAACCAAAGGAGAATGGGAGGTTTGGGATTTCCTCTACAGACTCCCAGTCAAGAGTAAAAACCCTTCAACGGAAGGTCCTGTGCTTCTTAGTTAACATAACTTAGACATCAGCGTCTCACAGCTCCTCCCTCTAAGAAAGCATTGTTTAGAAACCAAATTGATCCCAGAAAAACAATGTTTGTTATAGGACTAAGATCTGATGGAAGAAGGCAGCACTCATGTCTGAATGCACACTTCTGTACCGAAACTTGAAACTAAAAGGAAAGCTAGAATTTGTTAGTTTTAGCAAACACTAAATTGGTCAGTGTAACCCTTCTGCCCTGCCCTTGTTTCTCTGAGGCGAGGAATAGTGTTCTTTTTGTAGGCATGGTAAGCTTTGAATCATAAAATGAAGTTGGTGCTTGTGTGGTGTTTCCTTAGCCTAAAGAATGATCTGTTGTTTGAAACCTTTGTAACTTGTTTGTATGAGTAAAGAAAAGGTGCAATCCAGTGCTTTTAGATGGCTTGATATACCAAATAATGATATAGAACAATATTCTTATATGTGCTTCCCCGAGTTTAAAGGCCCTGCAGACACGTGACCATGTGAATGACTCGCCCCTGTCCTTTGCTGGGTAAGGTCGGGGCACTCATAGGCTGCTGAGGCTGTACAGGAAGGGACCAGACGCGGGGCAGGGGCCTCAGTACATCACAGACCCAGGAGCTCCGGTGTCCAGGGCAAGGGTCACACCACATTACCCATGTGCTTCCATACTTTTGTCAGGAAAGGAGGGGATGGTTTGGAGTTCAGACTGTTAGTAAAAACCATCTGGAGGCTTTTCTCTTTCCTTTTCTGTGATCCTGCCATTACGATGATGTGCACAGATTGTCCTGATTTTGGGCCAGGATCTTCTGCTCCATGTGGCTTAAGCCTTCCAGCTGAGTGGAGCGAGGCAAATGGAGCTGGAGGCGGGCATCTCCTCCTACCTCCATTATGCCCTCCCCCCAGTCGACACTCATTGGACAAATAGAATTCCGCTGCCTCTGAGCCAGTCCTGGAACCAGAATAGGCTTAGAGTGAGTCAGCTGTTTGAGCCAAAGCTGTGCAGTCAGGCGTCCTGGCTGAGCTACACAAGAAGCCAGTATCTGGGTCTTGGTACTTAGGCTTACAGCTAGGAAAACTCTAGTTTTGGGGATGAAAGGAACATACTGCTTTTCCTGAGCATTTAGGACTAGACAGAAATTAGACATAGATGAGGATAGGAAGGAAAGGACCTAACTTTGGCTTTTCCTTGGTTATGTTACAGTTCCAAATTGGATGAGGCAGACAAATGAAGTCCCTTGAGTGTCACTGTTCTGATTGAAGCCCCTCCCTTTTTAAAAAAATTTTTTTTATTGATTTTTCACAGAGAAGAAGGGAGAGAGATAGAGAGCTAGAAACATCGATGAGAGAGAAACATCGACCAGCTGCCTCTTGCACACCCCCTACTGGAGATGTGCCCACAACCCAGGTACATGCCCTTGACCAGAATCGAACCTGGGACCCTTCAGTCCGCAGACCGACGCTCTACCACTGAGTCAAACCGGTTTCGGCTGATTTAAGCTCTTAACTGCACATCCCTTCCCCACATTGCCAAATTGAAATCCTGCTGAAAGTTTAGAGTGATGGCAGGCTGAGTGCTGCTAGACGCACCTCGGCAGCCTTGACCTGGTGTTGAGCCTGCCTACGCGGTTAGTTGCTCAAGATTGGGTGCAAAGAATCCCTCCTTTCTGGTACTAAAATTTAGTATCGGAATGTCTTGAATGAAAATGGGGAAAAGGATACACAACAGTAATGTTGACCTGTGTTGCTCCCTGTCAGGCAGATGTTAAGGGTGTGCAGGGAGAGAGCTAGTGTCATCTATTATCTGCACTTGGGCTGCTGGCTTGTGGAGAAGGGCTGCTCTCTTTTAGTCCTACATCCCTTCACTTTTTGTTTCTTTCTTGTTTTTCATTCTCGAATTTGTTGCTTTGTGGGGACTAAGACCTAGGGATCATTTGAGAAATTGAAAAATGTCTTCTTTGCCATGAATTGCTTGATCCTAATGAGTCAGTGAAATCGCATAGGGACCAGTTGACTAACCATGTGGAGGGGTAGTATGCTGTTCTTTACTCTGTGGTCTAGGCAGCAAGCCTTGGCCTCGTGTGAGTCTAGCTCTGTGTCCTGTGATGCTTTTATGGTGTCTTAACTTCATCCTCACTGAGGCAGAGGGTAAAGAGACAGAACAAGACCAGAGTGGCCCATTGCTTTCCTGGCTAGAGAAGCCAGCTACCAACATGGAAGCAGCTTGGGACGGGCTGGACACAGGTCCTAGGCCCATCTATTCCAGATGGAGCTTTCATCACTGAACAATATTCTGTCTCCACCAGGCCATGGATGCTAAACCTTGGCCACGGCCCAGGCCTCCACAGGGTAGCTGTGTCCCTATTGCTGACTTAGTCAAGGTTGAGGACTTTTTAATAACTCCCCTGCCCCATTTCATCTCCAAGCCCTTATGGGATCTCCCAGTCATTTTGGGTCTCATGTGCTCCGGGAATGCTTTTTGAGAGCCAATATGGTGTCTTCCATGGGTTTCTTCTTGCTGCAAGGAACCAGCCTCCTGGGTCCTCTTGGGCCAAGAATTGCATCTGGGCAATTCCTGGTTTCAAGGTGATCTCTGTTGCCCGTTTAGACTCCAGAGTATCCTCTGTGAGGCTTTAGTGGCCTCAGAGCAGAGGGTCCAGATGGGGGTCTGTCTGGACCCTCTGCTGCCAACGGCTCAGCCTTGCTCCAGCTCCAGCCACTTGTGACAACCTTGTTTCCTTACAGATTCCAGCATGTGACTTTGGTGCCCTGTTGTTACTTGTGAAAAACCTATTCTGTTGTCTTTGATGTAGTCAAAAAAATTCATGTAGTTTACGTAAAAATATCTGATTCACAAAGAAGCCAACTATATGTCTTGTGTTGGGACAGTTCATAATGTAGTTCCTAGACCACTTTTGCAAATTGTTCTTGTCACCAGATGTGTTCAGACATTGCTGTGCAGTTGTAGGGGCGGGTGGGGGGAAGATACTTTTTGGTCTTTTTGTTTTGGACCATTCCCCAAGAGGGGACAGTTTGACCAATTTGCTCCAGTAATGCAATAAAGACATTTCAATAAAGTACCTTTTTTGTCCTCGTGCTGTAGAGGGAGGTGGTTTGGGGCTAGGAGCAAGGGGAAGAGGGCTTGGGTGTTGAAAAGCACTGAAACTTCCAAACCTTCTCTCCCATGAGCATCAAAAGTTTGGTCCTGCAACTGAACTGGGGCCACCAGAGACACTTCTATCCCTGAAGAGGAGAAAGCCAACCCAAACAGGTATGAAGCCAGAATCCTGTCAGCCCGACACAGGACTCAGAAACTCATCTGGGAAAGTTAAATTTGAGAGACATTTCCTCCTCTCCCCATTCCTGGCGATTAGAAAGCCAGTTTATTGATTCTCATCACATATTTCTGCCTGGAAATAAACATATTTCCACATTGTATTTTGGAGGCAGGGGAAATGGGCTCAGGCTTACTGTTAGTCCTCTTGTTGCCCCAGGCCCTTGTCACCATTCTGCCAGGCACTGTGTTGAGGTTCCTATGTGTTGGGAACAGTCAACAAGTGATGACCTCTGCTTTTACAGAACATTGCAGTTCTCATCCATGTCTCAGGCCCCATGGATGTGCACTGACTTTACAAATCAGATCAGGTAAGGGAATACTTTCCTTGTTCTAAATGTCCTTGCCTGTGACCTCCCTCACTACATTTTAGCTACATAGCATCCGCAAGGCCACTGCTAGGAATCATGGATTATTTCCCCAAATCCCAAGAGTTGCTTCCACTCTACAAAGGACCTCAAATTCCTGTCTTCAGTCCAGTCCTCTCTTCTGTACTCCACCTGCTGGCTGGATATTTCTACTAGGAACTTCAGCATCCCACAGATACTGCTAACTTCTTATTTGCAGAGGGAACATGCGTGGTTATGAATTCCCTTATCTTCTTACCACCAAATCTACAAACATGGCCTTTATTGGCTAATATAATTGGAAATTCTGATTATGGGCCTCAAATATCTTAAGCACCATGTCTCTCTCCATCTCTGCTATGCCAGCTCATGCTTGGTTTTACTTTGTGTTTAAGCTTTCTCCAGGTGGACAAATGGCCTCCAATAGTCCAGACTCGGCCTCTGACAACTCCACCGAGAGGTAGTCTTTTCAGGTACTGACTGCGTGCTTGTTTTATATATCCATGGGACTGCAGCACAATATCCATGAGAAGAGGGCCTTGTCAGGCTCAGCAGCAGTGCAAGACAGCAGTTTCACAAAATTGTCTAAATTTGTCTTTATTACCTACCTCCTTAAGCATTTCAATAGTTTCCACCATTACCTGAAACTGCTCTCCTTCATGTCTTCAGTAACCATCACTGTTGACTACTCTTCTCCAGGAAAAACTATCATTGGCTCCATGACAACTCATTCATCTAATTTTACTCCTAAATCTGTTCATTTTAATTCTCTTGGACTCTTGCTGCTTTCTCTGATATGCCTTTCCCCCTGGCAGTTCTATCCATATCCATGAATTCACCTACCATCTCTAGACTAAATATGTCCATCTGTTTCTCCTACTCAGACCTATTATGGGAGGTATACCTCATAGCATTCTGTCCGCATAATGTCATCACATTGTCCACTTTCTCTTCCATTATTTCAGTGAATGGGAATAAGTAACTCAGCTGCTTATGTAAGTCTGAAATGTCATTCTTGATAACTTCTCTGCTTCATGTCTAAATAAAACCCATCAACCCATATACAAATCCAACTCCGTAAAAATTGAAGGTATCACTTCTCAATCCACTGCTTCACTATCATCTCAACTTCCATACTAGAAGGCCTGCCTGCTTCCACTCTTGACCTCCTCAAATCTATTGTCGTTACAGCAACTGGAGTCGTCTTTTCAAAGTACAAATCTGGAACTGTGTAAAACCATTAAATAACTTCTGCTATTAGGGTAAATTATAAAATTCTTAAAATGGTTTGGCTTCTCTCAAGTTCAGGATCTCATTCCCCACCTCGATTACTCTTCACTGGCCTTTTCCCTTTTATACATATTCTCTGTCAATCCCCATGTACTCCTATGCCTTTAATTACCAGCTATTTGCTGATGGCTACCAAATCTGTGTCCAACTCTGTATACCTTCCCTCTTTCTAAGAAAACCCCCGTTGTCCTAGTTTAGACC